GCGAAACTATTCGTATTGTTCGAGTCATCTTGAGAGGTGCTTTCGATTTTCGCACGCAGCTCGGGCTGTAGCAGAGCTACAGAACTCGTACGCACAGAAAACGATCCAGAAGCATCAGGAGCGTTCGGCTGTTCCATCGAGAGGTCTGAAATCGCTTGGCCTGAAACACTATTCGTTATCTGCATTTTTTTCGACATTTTAAATGGTCAGGAAGCTCCACGAGTCCCCCGGCGGTAAGAAAGGTTGACGGTTTACCGCCGGCGCCCAGTTCCGGCGCGGGCTGGAGCTAGTCGGCCCACCCGACCAGAAAGGACAATGTCACAACTTTGGGTCGGTTTTGCAAATTTTTGAAAGATATTTGACAGTTCATTTTGAGAAAGCGGAATTTTACTCCGAGCATTTGTATCTAAACTTGCTCCTGCGAGCAGCGCAGCTTACCAGAGAGAGTTTTACGATCGAAACATTTGGAGGAACCGACATCATGGAGACACCGAAAAATATAAATTTTACGAGGCGCTGGCGGTAACCTGATTGACGGTTTACGGCCGGTTCCCAGTTGGCCGACCCAGCCTTACGAGACAAAGTAACTCCTATGTCACCTTTGGGTTAGTTTGCTCTGATTTGAAAAATATTTGCTCATTTATTTCCGGCGAGCTGAACGGGAAATTTTCCTAGAGGTCTGGAGGATTCCCAAAATTCCTCAATTCGTTTGAGCTCAAGTATTTCTTCCCATTATATTCGAACTCATATCCGCTCGCCGTCTTGATCTCAGCTCGATCGGGTACCTTTTATTGTCAAAAAGCACACGGGCAAGATCGGCCATTTCAAGTCATCTCGACAGGTGTTGTCCGTTTTTGTGCTTAACTCGAGCAATAGGACAGCTGCAGAGCTGATATTTACAGAAACCGATTCAGAATGATGAGCCGCGTCTCTGTTGAATCCAAAGGTCTGAACTCGTTCTGCTGCTCGAGCTAGGTCCGCGAAGCTACTGGTATTGTTCGAGTCATCTCGAGAGGTGCTGTCGGTTTTCTGCAATTAATTCGGGCTGTAGGGCGGCTACAGGGCTGTTAATCACAGAAACCGATTCTGCGACATCAGCCGCGTCCGCCTGTCGCATGCAGAGGTCTGAACTCGCTCTCCTACTCGAGCCAGGTCCGCAAAACTACTTCTATCGCTCGAGTCATCTCAACAGGGACTGTCGGTTTTCTGTACTTAACTCGAGCTCTAGGGTAGCCGCAGAGCAGAGACGCACAGAAACCGATGCAGAATAATCAGGCGCGCTCGTCTGTTAATCCAGAGGTCTGAATTCGATGTGCTTCTCGAGGTGGGTTCGCGAAACTATTCGTATTGTTCGAGTCATCTTGAGAGGTGCTGTCGGTTTTCGCACGTAACTCGGGCTGTAGGAGAGCTACAGAGCTGATACTCACAGAAATTGAATGGGAATCATCATGCGCGTTCGTCTGTTGCATCCAGAGGTCTGAACTGGGTTTGCTACTCGGGCTAGGTCCGCAAAATTATTCGTATTCTTCAAGTCACCTTGGCAGATGTTGTCCCTTTTCTGCATTGAACTCGGGTTGTAGGAGAGCTACAGAGCTTGTGCGCACAGAAAACGATCCAGAAGCATCAGGGGCGTTCGGCTGTTGCATCGAGAGGTCTGAAATAGTTCGGGCTGAAAATCGATTCGTTCTCTGCGATTTTTTTGACATAATATATGGTCAGGAAGCTCTACGAGCCCCCGGCGGTAAGAAAGGTTGACGGTTTACCGCCGGCGCCCAGTTAAAGTCTCAGGTCCGTAGGTGCAGTATTTCTATCAAAACACTTGGAGGAACCGACTTTGGATGAAAAATGAAAAATCGTTATTTTGCAAGTTTTTTGGCTCTCGCTTCGGAAGCTTCCTTCGTGTGTTCTGAGGAGCGCTGTGCAACAAAAGAGCTTTACGAGGTGGCGCTAGCTGGTTCACGGTTTACCGCCGGTTCCGAGAAAATGTTGTTGTGGTGGTTGTTATGGTTTTCGTTGCTGCTGCTGCTGCTGCTGTTGTTGTTGTTGCTGTCGTTGAACTCTCATTATTGGAATATATATATATATATATATATATATATATTCAGCTGACGATCCATTCGGTGACTATTGCGTTTTTTGACACAAAGAACAAACTAAAGTACTCCCCCGGGGGCTCTTGCTTTTTTTTTCCCAGGGAAAGTCGCTCGGCTCAAATCGCATCGTAGGTCCTCGATTAGAACGACGACTGCCTGATGCGCTCTCGCTGTTCAGCCAGGACGCCCGCTCCTGCCTGAGACCTTATTGCATTTCATTCAGAAGTCGCGCTCTTGCTTGGGACTTTTTCTTTACAATATATTCAGGAGTCGCTCTGTCGGCGGTCTGCAGTCGTGCTCTCTCCGGAGGCCTGCTTGCAATTACCCGAGAATCGCGGTCTTGCATCGGAATTCACCGCAATTTGCTGAAGCGCCGCGCTCCCGACACAGGTGCGTTGGCTGAAGATGTGAGATTTACTAGACAATTGGGTGAAACGGCAAGCGTGCTAAGCATAGGAGGAGGAGGGGGAGGAGGAGAAGGAGGAGGAGGAGGAGGAGGAGGAGGGAGGGGACTGAACAGCTATAGTGGCTGAAGGCAGAAGCGCTTTGCGCAGGCGCGCCATGCCATCCGGCCCTCCTGCCATATCTGGCGCAGGGCGTCTTTGCCGCCAGCTAATTCGCACGCCATGCTAAAAACACAACGCGTCCACGTATTTCTTGGTCTGCCACGCCTGCAGCGCCCGCCCGGGCGGGCCAAATCGGCGGTGCCGGGCTCAAAGATGCACCTCCTGATTTGGCTGCCGTCTGGGAGCTGGACAATGTCATCTATGAGTGCGAGTTGGCGGTAGGGCAAGAGAGAACTTGAAGCATGGCTTCTGCGCGTGTGCCGCACGGAAGCGTTGCTCACCCGGCTGATGTAGGAGTGCGGGGTGCCGGGCAGTTTCCGCGAGCATCGTGCTTGGAATGCGTCCAATCTGTCTCGCTCACCCCAAAAAGAGTACGATCGAATACGAAGAGGGCGGGTATCGAGGGTTTGGAAAATGCACGTTGGATGACAGTCGAGCAGATAAGAGCCACCAATCTTGACATGGTTGGCGTAGTTGTTGTTGTTGCTGCTGCTGTTCTTGGTGCTGCTGTCGTTGCTGCTGCTGTTGTTGTCGGTGTTGTTGAATACTCATTTCAAAATAAGACTTATTGTTTATCTCCAGAAACGTTCCCGCGCGCTCTCGCCTCGACGCCGGCTACATTCCCTCTGAAAGCGAGACCCCCGCTCGAGCGTCGGCTTGAGCCTAGATGTGGGCCCTTGGAAGCCCAGCTACGACAACAACAGCTCCCGCCCGATGCCTCTTCACCATTTACCCCGAGGCACCCTAGTTGGAGAGGCCTCCGAACTCCGGAGCGGCGCCCTCGCTCGAGAGCTCCTCGCAGTTCAGTTCAGTTGGCGGAGGCCCAGCCGAGACGACAAGGGCCCCTGTTCGATACCTACTCACGGCTTATTCTGAGAGCTCTCGGCCAAGAGGGCCTCCGCACTCAGGAACGGCGCTCTCGCTCAATACTGTCGCGTCATTCAGGCAAGTCGGTGGAGGGCCAACTACTGCGACGAGGTCTCCTGGCTGATATTCCCCAATCGGTATTCCGAGAGCCCCTGGCCAGAGAGGCCCCCGAAATCAGAAGCGGCACTCTCGCTCGAGACTTCTTCGCACTTCAGTCATTGGCCGACGAGGAAGATATCCCCCGCGAAAGAGGGCGCAATCGAAGACGACTGCGCTTCGTGGCCCCGTTGCAGCCGTTCGTGGCCCCCTCGCTGACCTTCGTGGCCCCTATATGCATGCCCTTCGTGGCCCCCGCTCGTTCGCGCCCGTCGTGGCTCCATGTGCGTGCCCTTCGCGGCCCCGCTGTCGCCCTTTGTGGCCCCCTCGTTGTCCTTTGGCCTTGTTGCTGCCCTCAGTGGCCCCGTCCTTGTCCTCTGCGGCCCAGTATGCGCATGCCCTTCGTGGCCCCCGCTCGTTCGCGCCCCTTCGTGGCCCCGTGTGCATGCTCTTCGTGGCCCCGCTGTCGCCCTTCGTGGCCCCCTCGCTGTCCTACGTGGCCCAGTTGCTACCCTCAGTGGCCCCGTCGTTGCCGTGGTCGGTCCCCTGTCCGTCCCTGTTGGGGTCGGGTTGCCGCCGATCGAAATGATACCCCCCAAAAGGGGTACGATCGAAGACGAAGAGGGCGGGTATCGAAGGTTTGGGAAATATGCATTAACGGACATTCGAGCAGATAAGAGCGAACAGTCTTAAACTGATTGGTGTTGTTGTTTTTGTTGTTGTTGCAGCTGTTGTTGTTGTTGTTGTTGTTGTTGTTGGTGTTGTTGTTGTTCTTGGTGTTGGTGTTGTTGCTGCTGTTGTTGTTGCTGCTGCTGTTGCTGTTGTTGTTGTTGTTGTTGTTGTTGTTGTTGTTGTTGTTGTTGTTGTTGAATTTTCATTTCTGTAGAATAATTATGGTTGATCCCCCCACCGCTGCATATTTTTTCTCAATCAAAGTGTGCCCTCGACGCTCGCACCCGGTTTTTTTTTGACAGGGAAAGTCCTCCTGCTCAAACGGCCCCCCCTTGTTGAAGTTACTCCCCATCATGCTCTCTGCTCTTCTGTATTCTATCTTCTTTCTCTTACTCTCACTCTTTGCTTTGCGCAATAGCCGTTCCAGCTTCGAGGAAAAATGGATTTTTCTTCATCATGGTAGCGGAGCTCTGAGAGCTCAGCTTTGCGATCCACGGCAACGAGTTCGCGGTCGGACCCGCGGGCGCCACCTTGGCGCCAGCAGCGGGCGCCAACTCCGCCACCTTGGTCGCGGTCAGCCCCGCGGCCGAGGTTGCCACCGCCGCCGCCGCCGCCGCCGCCTGTGCCCCCTGCGGGGCGGCCTCGGCCGCCAGCGCCGCGGGAGGAACCCGAGGAGTTCTCGGCTTTCGGCCCGGGCTTCGGACAGGCTTCGAGGAACCTCGCGGTGCAGAGGCGGATCTTGGAGCAGTTCCCCTCGCAGGCCGTGGTGCGGCCAGGGGCGGCCAGCTACGTGGCCAAGAAGAGGGGCCGCGGCCAGCGCCCTAGGGGAGAGCGTCGCACGCAGGAGGCTCTCCAGAGAACAGCATTGAAAGGCTCTGTGCTCAGAAAGGTGGACAGCGGCGAAGAGCTCCCGGAGGAGGAGAAGATCTTCTACCACGAGTGGGTGAGGGAGCTCCTTGACCACGCGCCGAAGGACCTCCGCAGGGAGGCCATAGAGCACTGTGAGCGCAACGACGCCCCAAGGGTGCGAGCCAGCGCTCTCTTTCGCGTGCTGAAGGTCGCCGCTGGGAGCGACGACGCTTGCGATCACTACTTGAGGCACCGCCGGCCCGCCGCTTACGACAATGGCGATGGAGGAGGTGCTGGCGAGGCTCACAGCCATGGAGGCTCAGCTCCAAGCAGTGAGCACAGAGAACCAACAGCTGCGGGCGGACCTCGCCGCAGCAGAAGCCTCTCGGGCAGGCGCAAGCAGCGCGGCACAGACCGAGAGGAGGGGGCCAGACGACGAGGCGCGGAGGCTGGCAGCCGGGACCGTGGACACCCGGGTCCTGAATAAACCCAGGATGTTCAGCGGAAAAGAGTCCGACTGGGCTCTTTTCAGCCTCGTGTTCCACGCATACGTGGGGATCATCTCGCCGAGGATGCAGTCCCTGCTTCGGCGCGCTGAGGACTTGCTTGCAGCAGTCCATAGAGCGCGGGGACTTAGCCCGGGGCGACGACGCCCCGGACAAGCAGCTGTACTTCATCATCACTCTGATGGTGGAGGGCAACGCGCTGCTAGAGGTCAAGAAGGTGAACGAGGGGGAAGGGCTGAAGCTGTGGAGGCTCCTGGCGCAGGACTACGAGCCGAAGCAGTTCAAGAGCCGGCGGATGGTGCGGTGCCAGGCCGTTCTCGGCTGCGCCGCCGAGGACGCTGACGTCTGGGTAGTCTTAGACAAGTTTGAAGACTTAGTCAAGGAGTACGAAAACGGGTCCGGGAAGACCGTAGACGACGAAACGAAGGCTGGTGTGATTCTCCGTGCGTTAGCCAACGGAGACGCAGACCAGTGGGATCTGTCGAAACATTTCGTTCTGAACTGCAATCGGATCGAGACGCACGGGCAGATCAAGCAAGAGTTGCGGGAAATCGTCGGCGCGAACCGGTTTCTCGGGCGGTCTGCGGGCGGTCTGCGCGCTCTTGCTAAAGGGGGCCCGAAGGGGGGCGGACGAGGACGGGCTGGCGGGAAGGGCGGCGACGGTAAGTTGCAGCTTGCCATCGAGTTTTCGGGCGACTGTTGGGCTTGCGGCAAAACCGGCCACAGGGCCAGCGAGTGCCGGAGCAGCCCGGCAGCCATGGCCAAGGCGAAACCAGCTGGGAAGGCAAAACCGAAGGCGGCAGCCAAGCGTTTTGCTGGGAACTCTTCGGGGGACTGCGGCTACCGCGGCAAACCAGGCCGCAAGGCCGCAGACTGCCACAAGAAGCACGCGGACGCCGCAGGAGCAACTAGGACAGGCACCGGGGAGCCGAGCAATAATCGCACTCGAGCAGAGATTTCCCATCTCGAACAGCAGCTGGCGGCGCTTTCGCTGCAGGTGCAGGGCCTTTCTGGGTCGTCATCCGGAGCGGCGGGGTCTTCGGAGGTGGGGGGTCTTGGGATCTCGGCAATCGAGGCTAGCGAGGTTTCTGCTGTGTCGTACTCGCGGGCAGACCCGCGGATTGCGATTGGTCTCGACAGCGGCGCGGAGATAACCGTCTGGCCCCCAGAGCTGGTCCCAGAAGTCCCAACCAAGGACTCTCCAGAGTCCCGCCGCGGCGTGAAGTACTACGGCCCTGGGGACACCGTCGCGCCGTCCTTGCCGAACCTCGGGAAGAGGGTGTACGAGTTAGACATTGGTGGTGTTCGCAGGCACGCTAATGTTCACATCGTCCCAGTCCGCAAACCTGTGTTAGCACTGGGATTTTGGAGATCACGGTCACGATGTTTTCTTCGTCGACGGTCGTCGGTGGGCTCGTCGCAGGGAGTCGGGCGAAGTCTTGGAGATGCATCGTAGAGGGGGCAGGTATGAGCTCGACGCAAGAGTCATCCTGCCGTCAAACTGAGACGGGCTGGCCTGGCCGTAAGTCCCGTGGAGGAGGCGAGCTCAGGTGCTCCAACGGTCGCGGGTAGCTCCGTGGCCCCTCCGGCAGCACCAGCAGCGGGGCCTCATGTTTCACAGTCAGTTTGACCAGGTGGCTCGGCGGACGGCCCCGCGAGCGCACCTGTGCCGGCCGCAGGGCCGAGGGCGCCAGCGGGCAGCCCCGCGGGCCAAGGAGGGGATGGCGGCGCTCATCTCCAGTCTCACATGGCCAACGCTGGAGGCGGGGTCATTCGAGCTCTCCCCTCCCCAAGTCTTCCTTCGGCGGAGGAGATTGCAAGGGGCAATGTTGATCATTGTCCTTACCAGAGTTGGTGTAGATCGTGCGTGGCTGGTTGTGGGGGGTCAGCCAGTCATTTTAGGCGGGAGATCGACGATCTGAAAATACCTTGTGTCTCTTGTGATTACTGTTTCATGGGGGAGTCGGTTGAGGAGGAGAGGATGTGTGATCGATGTTTACTTATAATTATACATAAGTTTTTCCAGGATAGGTGGTTGACGCCACATGTTGTAAGGCGCAAAGGAGTAGATGAATGGGCCGCCAAAGTCACGGCGCACGACCTGGAACAGAGTGGTCTGCAGCACTTCATCTACAAGTCAGACGGCGAAAACGCCATCAAGGCGCTCAAGACAGCAGCCGCCGAAGAACTTCGATCCAAATGTGGGGGGGCCATCGCAGTTAAGATGGAGGAGAGCGGGGCCGGGGAGTCTCAACAAAATGGTGTGGTGGAGAGGGTCATCTGGGAGGTGGAGCCCAGAACCCGGACTCTGGTCCATGCGGCCCAGGAGTTCCACGGAGTAAAACTTCCTTTGACTCATCCTGTCCGTGTGTGGCCAGTGGAGTACGCCTCACAGGTCATCAACAGAGGTCAAAAGGCTCTGAAAGATGGCCGTGCCGTGTGCGAGCTGAGGAAAGGCAGACCGTGCCGTCGCAAACTTCCAGTCTTTGCAGAAGCAGTAATGTTTCTGAGAGTAGCAGGGAAGCGGCAGAGGCGCAAATTCGAAGACCGATGGGAGACGGGAGTCTACCTTGGACTGGTAGAGCGCTCAAACATGGTCTTGATCGGGACACCATGGGGTGTCTGGAAGGTGAACTGCGTCAAGAGATTGCCGCCGGTCCAGGCTAAAGACCCTGAGCTGGTGAAGGCCATCAGGGGGTATCCGTGGAGCCACTCCGAGGGTGTCGACGCGGAGGAGCCGGGGGGCGCACCCGTGATGGCAGCGACGGAATCAGTTGTGTCTGAGTCGGCATTACCACCACACTGGCCACCACCACCAGCGGCACCTTGGGTCCCGAGGCGCGTATACATCCGAAGAGATGTAGAACTTGCCCGTTTTGGGTACACAGACGGGTGCCAAGGATGCCTAGCAGCAGCTTTTGGTCACAAGCCGAGGGCACGCACGCAAGAGTGTAGGAAAAGGATCGAAGACGCCATGGCTCAAGATACCGAGCTTGGCGTTCGTCTGGAGGAGGCAGAGGCGCACTGGGAGGCAGCAGGCGTCCCGGGGGCGCGAGCAGCGCCAGGGGAAACCCTGGGGCCTGGAGAGGTTTTGGGGCCAGACAGCACAACGGAGGAGCCTTCGCGGGAAGCCCCGCGGACGGCGCATAGGCAGGAGCAGGGGGGACCTTCGCGGGAAGCACCGCGGACAGCACCAAGGGAGGAGCAGGGAGGTATTGATTCGCAGCAGCCGGAGCGGCTCGTCAATTTTGCCTGTTAGTAGACCGTCGCGGGGGGCGCCACGGCAGTCTGCGCCAGGCGCAGGAGGGGGGCCGGCAGCAGCGGCGGCCGATTCTGGGGTGACAGCTTCGGCTGCAGCAGGGCCGGCTGCACCGCTAAGGCCTGGCAGCGTCGAGGCTGCGCTGGCCGGGTCAGAGCCAGTGTTGGTTCGAGGCGGCGACAAAGGAGAATCGCTTGGTAACGCGGACCCCAGCGCCGCGGATAGGCCAGTTCCTGGTCTAGACGAGGACGACATGGATCTTGGTAGTATCCAGGCGAATCTTCGGCAGATGGGCGCGGCAGTTGGCCCGTCCATCAAGTCCGTTTGCTCGGTCGCGAGGGGCTGTCCGCTTCCGGGCAGCAGCTGGGGAGGCAGCTGTGGGCGAGGTGTTCTGCAAGTGCAGGTTCACCACGCAGGTGGGCAAGTTCGGTCTTCACCCGGGCTGCGTGCTTGACTTCACCACAGGGTGGGACTTGGAGGTCCCAGAGCAACAGAAGGCCGACGAAATGCAGGAGCAGATCCGGCCATGCCTGCTAGTGGGGGGCACTGACGGCCCTCCCTGGAGCCGGCAGCGCAGGGGCGATGCTGGCGCAGGCGCGCGGGACGCGCGCGGGGCACGCAGCAGGCAGTAACTCCGGGCGTGTTGTCCGCTGTGCAGGGAGCAAATCGACGCTGCTCGACACATGCTACACGAGCACCGTGGCGGCGCGGCGTCTCTGCAGGAGCCGTGCGCGCAGGGGGTGTTAGAGCAGCCAGATGTGTTTTGGGTGCGCATTGACGAGCGTGGGATGGGGCAGGCCATCGCCACCAAAGGAGGCGGCCACGAGCTGGTGGCGCAGGGGGCCGGTTGGCTCACCAACAGCAGGTGTATCGCCGAGGAGCTTGCGATGTGCGAGTTTTGGAACAGAAGGGGTTCCCAGGCTTCAGGGGCAGGGGGGTGCACGCCCGCGCTGGTAAGTGCGGTGCTGCGTGGCCTCCGGCGGCAGCTCCAGGAAGACGGGAAGTTGTCGTTGTTCTCCCTCGAGCCGGGGGTCACAGGCCACGACCCCACAGAGTATCCAGAGGAAGACCTTGCGAAGTTTTGCGACGATGTCTCTGGGAAGCTTTTACCAACGCCGCTGGTACGGAAAGCGAGAGTCGCCGAGTTGGATTTCCTACGCGGTTTTCCTGTGTGAGAAAAAGTGCCAGCAGCACAGGCGAAAGGGAAGAACATGGTTTCTGTGCGTTGGTGCGATGTCAACAAAAGTGACGATGCTAATTTGGAGGTTCGCTCCCGGCTGGTCGGCAGGGAGTACAAGTGGCAAGACCCATTCATGCAAGGCACGTTTGCCGCGACGCCACCACTAGAGAGCCTTAAATATCTGTTCCATTTCATGACAACCACGAGGCGGGTGCGAGGCACCCCGGTTCGTCTGAAGATGTTGGTGATGAATGTGAGCAGAG